ACTCTTCACAATTTCCTCTTTCTTCTTCATACTTCCATGAGTTACAGCCAATGCAAAGTGATTTCCTTCTTGCTTTAATCTCACTTCCTCTTGAATACACATACTAGTCAGCTCATTCAAATTCCACTTATCTTTTTGAGTATTATAGTGGATTTTGAATGGGCCGAACTTTGATGGAAGTGAGTTAAGGATAAATTGCACAAGGAAGGACTCTTCCACTTTCATGCCAAGAGCTCCAAGTTTGGCAGCCTTGTCAGTCATATTCAGGATGTGTTCCTGAATTCCCTTATCACCACCATATTTCATGGTAGTCAATTCAGCCATGAGTGTCCCTGCTAACGACTTGTCCGCTGATTTAAAGCGTTCTTTAATAGCCGTTAACAGTTCCATAGCATTGTCAACCTCGGGAAGGGAGGTCTTAATGTTATTAGCAACAGTCATTCTAATAAGCATAAGACTAAGTCTATTGGACTTGGTCCAAGCTTCAATTAGGCTAACTTCTTCCTCACTGTTAGCATTCGTTATTTCCCCAGGTTTTTCAGTAAGCAATGCTAGGTCCAAATCCATAACACCCAAGGTGAATTGAATTTGTTCATACCATTCGGAGAAATTTGACCCATTGAGTGTCTTAATACCAGAAGCATGCGAGTACAATGAAGTAGGAATAGCAACTGAAATAAATATAGCAAATATATAAGGTAAAGATAAAAGGATGCTCACATAAGACCTTGAGTCAAATAAGATGAACTATCGATATCACTACAAGTTCGCCTTTGGGTGAAATACAGCATACCTATTGTTCACTCTATGTTGGTGTAAATGATCTTTTATAACACCTAAGTAGGGTCTAACATAATTTATCTCACTCGTCAATTAGTCATGTTACCTTTAGGTAAACAATTCTAATTGCTAAGTAATATAAATTATGACACCCTACCCAGTTCATAATTAATTAAAATCGACTATCCTTTGAGCTAGTCTCAATTTCTTAATTATGACTGCAATTTGAGAATATTATAATCTTTAATATCATGTAAATGATTAAACTTTCATATAGTTCTTATATTTATTAGATTTTACTAATCTAGGTCACTTTAGCAACTACAAGATTAGTAAATTTGCATAAATATAAAACTAATAATATTCTCGTTATTTTGTTTGAATGGCGTTTATGCAAAATAATAATGAACGAATTGTACAAAATATGTACCGTCATATGGATCATATAATTCAGCACATACAACTTCATATACTATAAAACAATTTTCAATACATACAATTCAAGCACCGAAAGCTTGCACATAATTTATACGGTCTGCTGTGTATGTACTCTAAT